AGATATTTATAATATATAATATATATTTCATTTTTATTATATAAAAATTTCTAAAATTATATTTATTTAATCAAATAAATATACATTTATTAAATATTATATTTTTATTTTATTTAATTTTTTAATATTTATACATTTTAATTTTTATTTATTTTTATGACTTTATATTTTATATTTTTTTGTTTAAATTTATAGAATTTTATTATTAATATATCGAATAGCTATTTATATATAAACATTTATTTTAAATTTATAATTTTTTTTTATATTTTTATTATATTTTTTTTATTTTTTAATATTTTTTTTTTTTTGTATTTATATAAATTATCAAATTTAAATTATATTAATATATTATATTTTTAATTATTTATAAACTACTTTGTTTTTTTTTTTATATTTTTGTTAAAATTAACTTTTTAATTTTTAGTAAATTTTTTTATTAAAATTTCTTAAAATTTTTATAGTATTAATTTTCAACTTTTTTATATTTAAATTATTTTGTTCTCTAATGATTTAAATATATAAATTATGATTTCTAGTAGTTTTAATATAATATAAAAGAATAAATATATAATTAAAAAAAAGTATATAAGAGTTATTTTTTTAAAAAAATATTTATAATGGAAGAAAATTGTTAATATTTTTTTTATATTTGAAAATTTTAATTATTATATATAATTATAAAATATTTTTATATAATATATCTAATTAAACTGAAAAAAAAATAAAAATATATTTTCTTTTATTAATTATATTGATTAAAAATCAAAAAAAATATTTATAATATATTTTTATTTATTCGAAAAATAAAAAATAACTATTTAATCTATTTATTTTTATCACTTTAATTTAAGTTTTATTAACTTTTTAAAGAAAAAATTTATAAATATAATTTCATGCTTATAATTTTTTTATATAATAAATTTTTAAGAATATGGTTTTTAATTTTTTTTATATTAACTAAAAAAACATATTTTAATAAAAAACGTATTTTAACTTTATTTTTATGAACTAACAGTATATAATAATAAAAAAAAATTAATTAAAAAACATATAATATAAATTGCCAATAAAAACATAAAAATACGCATGAAAAAATATAAAACATATAAATGAAATTAAAAATAATTAAATAAAATAGAAAAAGATTAAAAAAAACATAAAAAAAAAAAAAATATTAAAAAAAAAAAAAACATCCCTTTTTTAAAAAATATAAAAATATAAGAAAAACAAATAAAAAAAAAATGAATTTAAAATTAATAATAATATTTATAATTTCTATTTTCTAAATCACATATTAACAATAAAACATAGGATATCACGTATAAAAATAAACATATTGTCAATGCGGCAACGAAAAAATAGATATAACAAACCAAATAGAAATTCCGTAATGTTGTAACAATATAACATTTCAAGAAAATAAATATTTTTGTAACTGTGACGATTAATATTCTCAAGTGCCCGAAAATACATTCTGTTCTAATTTTTGTTCTATAACCCAACCACCTAAATCTCCTTATATACCTCCTACATCTTCTGATAATAATCAAACTTATTAATGTAGATGCAATAATATACTCACTAAAGTGGAAAAAGATACTAATTGTTATCCTATATGCCCCTAAAACTTACAAATATAATCATATTTAGACTTAAATATTGGCTATATTGATTAAACTTAGGCTTTTTGCTAATGCCCAGGAGACAAGGTTCCTTAAAACATTACTGGAGTATAAAATATACCAGAATGCTGTATTAATAATATTTATTTAGTGCATAATTACTACTGTAAATGTGGTTAGAATTACTTCGAAATTTAGGAAAATTAAATCTGTTCGAATATCTGTTCAGTGAAAAATCCTCCTGCTAAACCCATAATAACCCCTACATGTGACAGCAATTAAAAAAACTGTTAATGTACATGCGAAAACTCTTATTAAATTAACGTTTCTTCTTCTTATTAAACTAATTGTTTCGACATATGTACTTCTTCATTATAAATTCCTTCAGATCTAATTGTTTAAAAGGACAAATTATGCCATTAAACATGCAATTGTAATCCTTTCTCGAATATTTGTGTTTAATGTAAAGATATAAATGCCGAAATACTCTATGGAAGAATCTGTATATGTAAGGAAGGATATGATTATGATAAATAAAACCCTCTCTTATGTGTAAAATTACTCGACTAAGACTCTAAACCATACAACAAGTGTGAATGGGAAATTTACAATTATATTAAAGACGTCGTAGTATATTCAGATTGCAATCTTTAAAATATAAACGATATAAATTACATCCAATCAAACCTAAATTTTGATTTCAGACGTTCTTCAGTCGACCCTGAATGTTATTAATAATTCAGATCCAGTCTACTTATTTAATTACCTGGACAAGAAACCTATACACCTCTGGAGGATAAATATTTTAAAATTGTATCTAAGTTCTAGACAATTGTAAATATCACATTAATGGATATTTTTAATCTTTCAGCAGTTAATAAAATTCTAGGAGAATAAATATACTAAGTGATTAATTTAGCAATTGAATTAGGTCATAGTAGAAAAGTTGTCAGAATGCATAAATTTAATATTATAGTATTCACTAATAGGAATACTGTGTAGACTTTTATGATTGATATAGATTAATAAATCACTGAAAAATGTAATGGACATGAATGTATTGTCATAGTAGATTTAGATACTGATAAAAAGATATGCTCTGATTAAACCTGCTCAGCGACAAGAAATGATAATATATTCATCGTTGGAGAAAAATTAATTGTTAATATTTGGCTTAAGGATAATTCATATACAAAATATTTGGATCTTTCTAAAGTCACTTACAAAGATGATTCGGCTGTCTTAGATTTCACTTATTTAACCTAGGTGATTAAATAAAGTCCAGGGAATACTATTCTTAGTATAGATATGATAGAGCCTTCTGAAAATGCCACTTTTTAAGTTAAAATGTAGATTAGGGCGAATCAATTGTTGAGAAATTTAAATCAATAATAATAATAAATTGAAAAAATTACTTAAAATTTCTAAACAAAAATTTATGAAGTTTACAAATTTGAAGATAATAATGGAATTAAATAAAAATAAGCTTAAGTTGATAATGTTAATTAAAATTAATCAATTCACTTAGGATTCATTTTTGGTTATTTGTTTATTTTATGGGTTTTGTGATTTTTTTTTAATTAATTCTATAAATTGGCTTTTTTGTTTTTTAAATATTATTTATAAGTTTTTTATATTGTTGTTTATTACATTTGTTTATGGTTTTAATTATTATTTCTTAAAATAATAAAAAATTTTAATAGTTAAATTTATTTGTTATATATGTATAAAGTTTAAATATTTTTTTTTTTCTTTAATTATAAATTATTTAAAGTCTTCTTATTATTCTTATATATTAAAAAAATAAAAACAATATTTTCTATTTATCAATACCTTTAAATTTTTTTAATAGTTATAAATTTTAAAATAACTAGATGATAAAAAATACAAAAATTATCAAAAAAAAAAAAAAAAATCACAATAAATAAATAAAATTAAAAAAAAAAAATTAATTTAATAAAATTTATATTTAATTAAATAAAATATTAGATACAAATTTTTAATAACTTTTTTTTAAAAAAATCTATTTAAATAATCATAAATAAAAAAAATAATTTTGATTCAAAGATAAAATATATATTTTTTTTTTTAAAAAAAATGAGTTAATCTAAATAAAATTATATTCCTTTATTAATAGGAGCCGGATCTTTAGCTATAGGAGGTCTTGGTTACCTAGCATATGAATTTTTATCTAAAAACACAAAAAGTTAATCCACATAGTAAAATAATTAAAAGTCTTATACCCGTGACTAAATTCTTTAAACCTTAAAATCTTTCAAAAAAGAACTATATACATGTTCAGTATAAGTATCTGCCATGGTTTAATAAATAAAGCTTTAATCTCGTGGTGCATAATTAGATTTTGACATAAAAGAATTTATATTTAGTTATCGTAAACATATACATATATATATAAATAAATAACTATTATTTTAATTAAAAAAAGCAATTGTTGTATAAGAAATGGAAAGGGCTGAAATATAAGCTTGTTTAAAGAATAATATAACAAAATAAGAATTATAATGGAATGTCGAAAACTTATACAAAAATGATTCTGAAATCGAAGAATTGTAAAAGCAAATAAAATTAATGTTCGATTAAGCTGCTTTAGGAGTACCTCCAGATCCGAAATCCGAAATTCCAGAATTTTTAACATGCGATAAATTATTAGAAATCATTTAGTAAATAATGATTTCAACAACCAAATAATTGAGAGACTTCTTCTATAACATAAAATAATAATACGGAAATGTCAATTTAAACGACCCAAGAATACTTTAATAAATGTAATAAATTTAAATGAGTGGATTAAAGGAAAAAATTTTACATGAATACGGTTTAGATACGTTTGAGGATCCTTCGGATAAAATACTTCAATTTGCAACTTAAAAATATGCTATGGAAAATCCAGAATTCTCATAAAAAATGTAAATTTTAGAACTCAAACATAAAAAGTGTATGGAAACTATCATGGTAAATCCTGATAATGAAGAAATTATTGAAAAAATCTTCAATGAAGATATGTCTTAAGTTGGATTAGGAATGGGAGGATCTATGGGAGGATTTTAAGGATTCCATGCTGCTGTAAGATATTTTTTTTGTTTTATATTTTTGTTTTTTTTAATTATTATTATTTTAGAGAAGAAAATAATAGGATTAACCTAAATTAGACGAAAAATAAAAAGTAGAAGAAAAAGTAGCTGATGATGAAAACAAATAAGAAAAATAAAACAATGAAGAAAATGCTGAATAAAAGGATTAAATAGATGAATAATAGAAAGAATAATAATAGGAATAAGAATAATAATAAGAAAAATAAGAATAATAATAGGAATAATAAGAAGTTTAAAAATAAGAAATTCATGAAGATTTAAATAAATAAAATCAATAAGAAGTTTAAAATCCTAAATAAGAATAACATTAGGTACATGAAAATTAACAATAAAGCTTATATAACTAAAATGAATAAGATAAAAAAGATAATGATGAAAAATTCTAAGATGCATAATGAATGTGATATATTTGATTATATATTTCTTTATTATTTTTTTATATATAATAATTTTTTTGTTTAACGAGAAAAAAAAAAAAAAAAATTTAATAGATTTTTAACATTAATTTTTTTTTTATTATTATTATAATTAATCAATAAATTTAACCATTTAATGTCAAAATATAAAGATATTTATTTATAAATTATTTATTTATTTAAATTTTTATTTTTATTTTTTATTTTATATAAATATTCTATTAAAGCTTATATATTATCTAATTACTTAAACTTATTTAAGATTTAAGTTATTTATTTGTAGAATATACTCCAGAATGTAATTTCGAAATATCCATAAGTCTAAAAATAGATTTTCATCCTAAATGAATTAGTTCGATCTAAACAATCTTTTTAATTAATTTTATAAAGACTTTTCTATTCTTCAATATTATTTACTTTATAATTAATCATTTTAAACTTAAATTTTGATTTTATTTAATTATTTTTTACAAAAATAAAACACATATTCATATGAGGCTTAAGCCCTTTTAATATAAATTAAAGTGCACATATTCTATTCCTTTAATAACATTTAAATTACTCTCGAATTTTTCGGAAAACATTTATTCTTCTTTATTTCTTGACAGCTAATAGAAGTGTTTTTTGTATACTCCAGTGTTTAATTCTTTATATGAAATATTCTAAGTGTTTATTATATAATAAAATAACTTTTATATAAAAAAACAAATCAAATATTAAAGAACTAAACCCAAAAATAATATAGAAATATTATGCTCACATAAGAATATATAATTTTTTTTATTATTTTTTCATAATATTCACTTTTTTAATATTAAAAAAAATTAATTTAAGTTCATAAGTTATCATATCTCATAACTAAATGATTTCTTATATTAATTATCATTTTTTAGTAAACATATATCATAAAATAAATAATTTTTTATTTATAAATTAATTATATTCAAAATTAAAATTAAATTAATATACATATAAATAATAATAAAATATAGAATTTAAAATATAACCTCCCTAACATAAAAAAGAAACAAAGAAACAAATCAAAATAAATTTAATATAAGGTTACATAATAATTTTAAAATAAAATTATTCTTTCAAAAAATAAAATTAAATACAAATAATATTTTTTTTTATATATTAAACATCACTTTTTATCACAAAAATAATATTTTTTTAATGCATATTATAAATTATCATAACTAATAGGTTTCGTATAATAATTATCCATGCCCGCCAATTAGCATTTGAGTCTAGTTTCAATATCTGAATAGCTACTGTACCCTAAAATATTAGTTTTTTCGAATTTATTTGAAATTTCAAAATTTCTAATTTCTTTAGTACATTCTATTCCATCCATTATTGCCATATTAATATCCATAAAAACCATTCTTATTTATTTGTAAAATTCTTTATATTTCTAAAATCCTTCCTATCCATTATATGCTGTAATAATATGAGAATTATTAATCCCGAATTTAACTTTCATCAAAATCTATAATCCGTATATATTCATAGGCTCATCATCTATAATCATTATCAAATTTTACATTATAAAATACTTTGGTTTTGAACAAGGTATATTTATTGCTTTTATTTCTTCACTTTCAGATAATTCTCCGCAATTATCAGACATAATAGTATTATCATATAAATAACTCTTTGTTATTAAATATTTCCATGTTTAAAGGCCAAATAATTTACTAATTTATGATTTTTATGTCCTAAATTCCAATGATTTATATTTTCTTAAATCCATATCTTTTAATTTATTATCATTTTAATTAGGTTATACTGTTTTTGCAGAAATTAATATTTTAGAACAATTTTCTTATTCGGTTATTTCTTATTCGGTTATTTCTTATTCGATTATTTCCTATTCGTTTATAATGAAAATTTTTTATTCTTATAATTATACTGAATTCTATTTATTTATATTATATATGTATATATATATATATATAAAATATACTTCAAACATTGAATTATGTAAATTTTTATCTTTTTAACAAATAATATTATCATCTTTTTATACTTTTTTTTTTTTTTTTAAAAAAAAAAAAAATTAAAAATAAAAATAAAAATAGAATTTAAACATTCACTATAATTCGGTTTCATTTTATTTTCTACATTTGCATCAATATAAAACCAAAAACTAGATCCTTTTTAAGAAACAGATTTAAAATGTAAACCTTTCTTAAATTCATTTATATTTTTATTATTTTTAATCATTAAATTAACCAATATATTACTAATACTCAATCCAAATCCAAACCCAGACGAATGTTTTGAAACTTTCTCATATAAATATTTTCCATTAAGTAATTATTTTAATCTTTATTATTCATCTTCATCCATTCCAATTCCATTATCCTTTACTTTTAACTTTATTATATTTTCATATGGCAAATATTAAATCTTAGCACTTATACAGCAATTTCTAGTCGAAAATTTAAAAGCATTAGAAAGTAGATTTACCATTACAGATTAAACTTTTTTTTTATCTATATAAATTTTCTCAGGTAAATCTATAATATAAAAATTAAATGTTATATCTTTCATTTTAGCTATCTTAGTGTAAAACTAACATACCTTTAATATTATTTCTCCTAAATCATCTTATTTCCAAACTAATTTAAGCATTCCATTTTAGTAAGAATGATAATCTCTTATATCTTAAACAATTTAACTTATTAAAAATACATTGAAATCTATAATCTTTGTTTTTTTTTTAAAAAAAAAAGAATAATAACAATATTATATATATATATATAATACATGTATATAATTTTTACTTTCAAATAATTATTTTTAGCATATTCAGTAACTTAATCATCTAAAAGAGCAGAAGAAATAAATTAATATAGAAAATTTGTACATGTACCTAATTCATGAGAAATAGTTTAAAAGATTCTATTTTCACTCTCTTTTTATAAATTAATTATTTTTTCTTAATTATCTTTAGTAAGTGTAATTATACAGTATTTTAAATTATTAATAATTTTTCCTTATAATTTTACTGTAATATCTTATAATTCATTTGTTTTTATGACTTTTATTTATTAAAAACTACTACTTTAATCATTTAATTCTTCTATTATTTTTTTAGAAATTTCAAGCAAATCAATATCTAAGAGTATCTGTTTTTACTAAAAATTAAATTCCTCTTCTAATTATTATGAACATTACATAAAAGTAGAATTTTTTAATAATTAAGACTTTAATTGGATTCCTATTTTTTAAAAATTTTAAATACTTGATTATGAAATTTCTCTTATTTTAATTGCTTAAAGGAAAAACATATTTTTTATTTTCTCAACTTCATCAATAATTACTTAAGCAGATTTATTAGTATATTAAATTTCACATTAAGAGTTTAAAATAATAACCCCAGTATCAATGCATTATATAATTTATTTGAAAAAGCATACTTTTTATTATTAAAAATCTATTTTATTTAAACTAAATTATTTATTTAATGATTTATATATTTTTTCTCTTATTTAATTTTAAATATCATCATTTTTTATTATTTCGCTATTTTTTTTACTAAAAATTATTTCAGATTGTTATATCCCAGTTATAATTTTTTTACTTTCGAAATTATTTCCGATTGTCAGTAGTATATCCTTTATACTTGTAGTAGGCTTTAAATTTTAATCAAAATTTTTTATATGTTTAGAAGGTTAAGTAGTTAAAACTTATTATGTGATTGTGTATGTTTTTTAACTAAATGGGATTTTACTTTTAAATTAAAAATATTTTGATTTTAAGTTAGAAGTTAAAGAATAGCAAATAATAAATATTAATTCATATTTGTATCCATATTATATATTTAAAATTATAATAAATAAAATCAAATTCATTGATAAAATTATAAAAATAAGTAATTTGTATTCTTATTACTTATTTATAATATTAAATATTTTTTCTAATAAAATTAAATAATAATAAATTTCGCAAATATGTCTATAAGTTTCATTTTAAGAGCAAAAAAATGAATATATTATTGTGAATAAAAATGTAAATATTGTTAGAATTGCTAACTAATTTATATTGTTTATGAAAGATTTATGAAAAGCGAAATACACTAAAAGTAATAAAGGTATTAAAGAAATCCACATCATAAAATAACTATCTACTAGACTTTCTTTTTTTTAAAAAAATATATAAAAAAATATTTCATATTATATATTTTTTATCTTTTACTAAATAAATTATAGATTATTCCTAAAAATATAAGAATAAAGACTTTATATTTACTTTCGAAAATCATTAAAAATAATTTTTTTTTACTTAAAATATTTCTGTAATGTATATTATTATTTTAATTTAATTAATTATTTTATAAATTTAAACTATAAAAAGAATTATAACAAAAAATATTAAATAATTATATTTTTTATTATAAACATAATTTTTTTTTTTTTTTAAAAAAAAAAAAATTAAAATAATTAATTAAATTTTTATCTATTGTTGTTTATTTTTTAAAAAATAAATAAATTACTTATTTATTCATTTATATATATATTATTAAAAAATAATTAAAAATATTTATTTTTTTATAATAAATTATATTATTTTTAATTGTTTTAGATTTTTTTTTTTTTTAAATTAAAAATAAAATATTTTTTTAACTAACTTATAAAAATTATTTACAAAATGGAAAACCAAAATTTACATGGTAATAATATATATTTTTATATATAAAAAAAAAATATAGTTTATATTTAATAAGAAAGAAAAAAGTTCTCAGACTTACTTTAAAAATATATTAATCTTGAAAATGACTTATAAACATATAAAATATATGATATATAAGAATTAGTTAAATTAAATAAAAAAATGGATATTAGAATATAGTAATTAATGGATGAATTATTAAGCAAAGATAAATCTTTATATGATTATGCATTAGAAATAGATAAATAAAACTTTTAAATTTCATAGTTATAAATTCAAAATCAAGTATATTAAACTAATAG